AGGGAGCACTTTTATTTTTGTTTTTTGTTTTTTGTTTTTTTTTAAATGATCATTTTCTGTGTGCAGATATTGGTTAAAATTTGGTGTTCTGGGGGAAGAAAGGTGTAGACTTCTACTATCTTGCTCCACCTCCTTCTCCTGGCTCTTGTTTCCTTCAGGGGTACAGTCCTGGCATGTATTTGGGTCTTTGTCTCATAGGACACTATCCTTCCTATACAAGAATATTCCCAGTCATTTGGATATCTGACTCAATAAATGCTTGTTTCCAGTGTGGTTGGAGAAAATTTCTTGAGTAATACCACAGAAGCACAAGAAAGCAAATCAAAAATGGGCAAATGGGATCACGTCAAATTAAAAGGATTCTGCACAGCAAAGGAAACAATCAACAAAGTGAAGAGACGATCCACAGAATGAGAGAAAATATTTGCAAATTCTTCATCTGACAGGGATGAATAACCAGAATATATAAGGGTCTCAAACAACTCTACAGAAAAAAATCGGCCAGGTGTGGTGGCTCGCGCCTATAATCCCAGCACTTTAGGAGGCCAAGGCAGGCGGATCACGAGGTCAGGAGTTTGAGACCAGCCTGGCCAATATGGTGAAACCGTCTCTACTAAAAATACAAAAATTAGCCTGGTGTGGTGATGTGTGCCTCTAGTCCCAGCTACTCAGGGGGCTGAGACAGAAGAATCACTTGAACCCAGGAGGTAGAGGTTGCAGTGAGCCAAGATTATAGCAGTCCAGCCTAGGCAACAGAACAAGATTCTGTTTCAAAAAAAAAAAAAAAAAAAAGTAAAAAGTAAAAAATTTAATAATCTGATTTAAAAATGGTTAAGGCCAGGTGCAGTGGCTCACACCTGTAATCCCAACTTTGGGAGGCTGAGGCAGGTGGATCACTTGAGTCCAGAGTTCCAGACCAGCCTGGGAAGTATAGAGAGACTTCTTGTAAAAAAGAAAAAAGTTTTAATTAACAGAGTGTCGTGGCAGGCACCTGTAATACCAGCTACTCAGGAGGCTTAGGTGGGAGCATTGCTAGAGCTCGGCATAGGGGAACAGCAGTTGCAGTGAGCTGAGATCATACCACTGCACTCCAGTCTGGGTGACAGAGTAACACCTGTCTTAAAATAAATAAATAAATATTCAAAAATAGAAACGGGCAAACAATTTAGACATTTCTCAAAAAAAGACATAAAAGGGGATGGGGCAATAAAAAAAAAAAGACATAAAAATGGCAAATAGGTAGATGAAGAGGTGCTCAACATCATTAATCAGAGAAATGCAAATCAAAATTACATAAGCTATCATCTCCTCCCAGTTAAAATGGCTTTTATCCAGAAGTCAGGGAATAATAAGTGCCGGCAACGATTCGGAGAAAAGGGAACCCTTGTAAACTATTGGTGGGAATGTAAATTAGTACAATTACTATGAAGAACAGTTTGGAGGTTTCTCAAAAAACTAAAAATAGAACTATTATACAATTCAGCAATCCCACTGCTGTGTATATACCAAAAAGAAAGTAAAGCAGCCAGGCATGATGGCTCACGCCTGTGATCTCAACACTTTGGGAGACCAAAGCAGGTGGATCACAAGGTCAGGAGTTTGAGACCAGCCTGGCCAACATGGTGAAACCCGATCTCTACTAAAACTACAAAAATTGGCCAGGCATGGTGGCATGTGCCTGTAGTTCCAGTTAATTACTCAGGAGGCTGAGGTAGAAGAATCACTTGAACTGGAGAAGGGAAGGTTGCAGTCAGCCGAGATCACATCACTGCACTCCAACCTGGGTGACAGAGCAAGACTCTGTCTCGAAAAAAAAAAAAAAAAAAGAAGAAGAAGAAGAAGAAGCAAGAGGAGGAGGAGGAGGAGGAGAAGGAGAAGAAGGTGAAGGTGAAGAAGAAGAAGAAGAAGAAGAAGAAGAAGAAGAAGAAGAAGAAGAAGAAGAAAAAGAAGAAGAAGGAGAAGGAGAAGAAAGAAAGAAAGTAAATCAGTGTAGAGATACCTGGACTCCCATGCTTGTTGCAGCACTGTTCACAATAGCTAAGATTTGGAAGCAGCCTAAGTGTCCATCAGCAGATGAACAGATAAAGAAAATGTGGTGCCTATTCATGATGGAGTACTATTCAGTCATTAAAAATAGTGAGATTCTATCATTTGTAACAACATGGATGGAACTGAAGGTCATTATGTTAAGTGAAATAAGTAAGGCACAGAAAGACAAACATCGCATATTCTCACTTATTTGTGGGATCTAAAAATCAAACCAACTGAACTGATGAAGACAGAGAGTAGAAGGATGATTACCAGAGGCTGGGAAGAACAGTGGGGGTTGTGGGAAGGTGGGAGGGTAATGGGTACAAAAAAAGTAGAAAGGATGAATAAGACCTGGTATTTGATAGAACAGAGTGAGTATAGTCAACAATAATTGAATTGCACATTTTAAAATAACTAAAAGTATACTTGGATTGTTTGTGCAAAGGATAAATTCTTGAAGAGATGGGTACCCAATTTTCTATGATGTGATTAGTATACATGACATGCCTGTATCAAAACCTCTCATGTACCCTCTAAATATATGCACCTGCTATGTACTCACAAATATTAAAAAGAGAAAAAAAGAAGAAAAAAGAAGTCTGAACTAGTTCCTTTGGTGTGCCTTTCTTGCTAACAGCTTCTCCATCTTTTATTTTGTGAATAAAAGGAGTGGGCATACTCTAAACAAAGCCTCTTTTATTAAGTTCCTTCTCATATTTGGAAAAATTCTTAATTTAGCAGTCAGGAATTAGGCAATATCATTAAAGTACTATTTTACATTCTGAAAACAAGAAATTATTTTTACTTTTTATTTTATTTTATTTGTTTATTTATTTATTTGATATGGAGTCTTGCTCTGTAGCCCAGGCTGGAGTGCAGTGGCGGGATCTCAGCTCACTGCAACCTCTGCCTGCTGGATTCAAGCGATTTCTTCAGCCTCAGCCTCCCGAGTGGCTGGGAGTACAGGTGTGCGCCACCATAACTGGCTAATTTTTTTATTTTTAGTAGAGACAGTGTTTTGCCATGTTGGCCAGGCTGGTCTTGACCTCCTCACCTTAGGTAATCCACCCTCCTCGGCCTCCCAAAGTGCTAGGATTACAGGCATGAGCCACTGGACCAAGCCTATTTTTACCTTTTAAAAATTTGAACATAAAAAAATAAAATAAATAAATTGAACATATAAGGCCGGTTGCAGTGGCTCACGCCTGTAATCTCAGCACTTTGGGAGGCTGAGGGGGGTGGATCATGAGGTCAGGAGTTCTAGAGCAGCCTGGCCAATATGCTGAAACCACGTCTCTACTAAAAATACTCCGTCTCAAAAAAAAAAAATTTAGATATATTTTGAGATGTGGTCTTACTATGTCACCCAGGTTGGTCACGAACTTCGGGGCTCAAGCAATCTTCCCACTTCAGTCTCCAGAGCAGAGAGGACAACAGGTGCACACCACTGCACCAGGCTCTGAACATTATTTATAATTCGCATGATGCAAAATTCAAAAGGCAAACAAAAATTATAAAGGGCAAAACTCTCTTTCCGACCCTGTCTCACAACCAAACAGTTCCTCTCCCAAAAGAAACCAATGTTACCACTTTATTTTGTCTTTCCAAATACAGTTTACACACACAAGCAAATATGAATATATCTTCTACGTTTTATTTTTTTGGGGGGGATGGAGTTTCCCTCTTGTTGCCCAGGCTGGAGTGCAATGGCATGATCTTGGCTCACCACAACTTTTGCCTCCTGGGTTCAAGCGATTCTCCTGCCTCAGTTACCCGAGTAGCTGGGATTACAGGCGTGCACCACCATGCCCTGCTAATTTTGTACTTTTAGTAGAGGCAGGGTTTCTCCATGTTGGTCAGGCTAGTCTCAAACTCCTGACCTCAGGTGATCTGCCCGCTTCAGCCTCCCAAAGTGCTGTGATTACAGACGTGATCTTCCACCTTTTACACCAATAATAGAGAATACAGATTGTTCACAGCTTCATGGTATTGGATTTTATGGATGTACTGTATTTTATTGAATTGGTCCCCTACTAATGGACATTGAAGGTTGTTGTCAGTCTAATCTACAAACAATGCTGCAGTTAATAATCTTGTACATATGTAGTCTTACATGTGAACGAGTATAAGTGAATAATTTTATTAAAATTGACAAATATTTCTGAAATGCCCCCAGTATATTTTATAACAATCTTGCATTCTTCTCTACAATGTGTCAGGGACAGTTTTAGACAAGGAAAATACGATATGGAAGATGGAGATGCAACGTAAATTTAGAATGCTGCCCACTGGCTATGGTTTTAGTATCCTTAAGAATGAAAGGGCTGGGCGCTGTGGCTCATTCCTGTAATCCCAGCACTTTGGGAGGCCTAGGAGGGTGGATCATGAGGTCAGCAGTTCAAGAGCAGCCTGGCCAACATGGCGAAACCCAGTCTCTACCAAAAATACAAAAATTAGCTGAGCGTGATTGTGCGTGCCTGTAGTCCCAGTTCCTGGCAGGGCAGGGCTGAGGCAGGAGAATCGCTTGATCCCGGTAGGCAGAGGTTGCAGTGAGCTGAGATCATGCCACAGTATTCCAGCCTGGGCAACAGAGTGAGACTCCATCTCAAAAAAAAAAAAAAAGGGGGTGCTCACAGAAGAAAATAGTATTACCAATTTATTGTCTAGACATTCAGATAAGTTGAACCAATTAACCTCTTTGACTTTTCAGACACTAACTGCACCAAAATCAATTAGAAGCGAACTTCCTTAAATAAACCCTCAGCAACCATAATCTGGTGAAAAGTCAAGAGGGGAAGAACGGTGGTGATAAGGCTGTCTAAGATTTCCCTAAGAAGATTCTTTCCAATTTCCCTCTTAATGTCCACCTTGTAGTGGCCAAAAGTTCCTTTCACTTAATTGTCTTGGAGTGAAATAAGTAAAATCACCTTAGTGGTGATGATAAGCCCCATTATGACGCAAAGTATGTAATGAGGTCTGTGGATCGCAGGGCTCAGAGGATTCTTGCCGCAGCGTCGTTCGGCCCGAAGGCGTTATTGTGGACAATGGAAGGGAAGAAATTTGAGGACTCCGTGGGTTTTCTCGACATCAGAAAGTTCCTCAGTACCTGGAAGGTAAAACGCATTTCCTGCAATCAGATGCTTAGCATATTAAGCCTTGGAATTCTCGCCGTCTGCTTTGCTTCCCGAGCGGTGGGGAGGGACTCAGGCTCATCCAACCGCCAGACTGTAGAGCTGTATATTCCCAGGCTCCCTGCGAATCCCACACCACCCAACCGTCCTGTCCTTCCTTCCATCTTTCCTTTCTTCTTTCTTTCTCTCTTTCTCTCCTTCCTTCTTTTCTTCCTTCCTTTCTTTCTCTTTCTTTCTCTCTCTTTCTCTTCCTCTTTCTCTCTTTCCTTCTTTCTCTTTCTCTCTTTCTTTCTTGAGACAGAGTCTCACTCTGTCGCCCAGGCTGGAGTGCAGTGGCGCGATTTTGCCTCACTGCAATCTCCACCTCCCGGGTTCAAGAGATTGATCTCCTGCCTCAGCCTCCCGAGTAGTTGGGATTACAGGCGCACACCAGAACGCCCAGCTAATGTTTTTGCATTTTTAGTAGAGACAAGGTTTAACCGTGTTGGCCAGGCTGGTCTCGAACTCCTGACCTCAAGTGATCCACCTGCCTTGGCCTCCGGGATTACAGGCCTGACCACTGTGCCAGCCCTCCTCCTCTCCGCCCCGCCCCCGGCAGGGTCTCACTATGTGGCCCAGGCTGGAGTGCAGTGGCTGTTCAGGTCTCCATACGCAAGCCTGGAACCAGAACATCTGAAGTCCTGCCTGCCTCTGCTAATTGTCTCCCACCCCACTGCCTGCGTTGGCCGTTGTCCCTAATCGCCCAGCAGAGCTTCCCCGGACAAGCCCTTCACCCCACCCTGCCATCTTAACTGTTCTTATGTTAAATGTGGACACCCCTCACCCCACTCTGCCATCTTAACTGTTCTTATGATAAATGTGGATACCTCTCGCCCCATCCTGCCATCTTAACTGCTCTTATGGTAATGTGAACGCTCCTCGCCCCATCCTGCCATCTGTACTGCTCTTCCGCCTTACTCAACCCGCCATTGTAACTGAACCTGTGGTCATGTATACTCCTTGCCACTACCCCCCACCACTGTAACTGATCTTACTCTGCAACGCCCTCGCCCCCCAAAACTACCCCGACTTATAAAACCAATTCCCACCCTTACTCCCTTCGCCTGTCCTTTCTCGGATTCGGTCCGCTTGCACCCAAGCGAGGAATAAAACGGCCTTGTTGCCCACACAAGGCCTGTTTGGAAAATCTCTTTATTAAATGCATTTAATATTCGGTACTATTGGACGTGAATAACAGTGGCGATCCTGGCCCACTGCAACCTCTGCTGCCTGGGTTCAAGGGATTCTCCTGCTTCAGCCTCCCGAGTAGCTGGGACTACAGGCGCGGGCCACCACACCGGGCTAACTTTTTTTTTTTAATTTTTTGGTAGAGACGGGGTTTTGCTGTGTTATCCAGGCGGGTCTGGAACTCCTGAGCTCAGGTAATCCGCTTGCCTCAGCCTCCCAAAAGTGCCGGGATTACAGCGGTGAGGTACCGGCCCCGGCCACCCAGCCTTTTTCTGATTCGGCTTCATAGCAGCTTACGGAAGTCCCGCCCCCGATACAGGCAGGTCACGTGACACCGCCTCGTCACGTGACGCGGACTCGCAGGGGGCGAGGAGGGCGGTCCTCCAGCTGCATTGCGTCATCACGTCGCGCGGCCGCGGGGTCCAGACCCGAAGGCTCCAGAGTCTCCGGAGCCTCCGGGTCGGGGCGGCGGCGGCGGCGGTGCTTCGGCTCCTCCTGAGCCGCCTGCTGGCCCCGCGCCCCACCCTATCCCCACAGGCCGGGGACAGGCCCGGCGCGGCTGTGTGGGCACGGGAGCGGAGGTGAGTTGCGCGGAAGTGGTGGCCGTCAGTCCTTCCCTTCCTGTCCATCAACTCCGGGTTATGGCCCTTCCCCCATCCTTGGTCTCCCTGCTAGGCGGAATCGGAGGCTCGCCCTGGATAGGAGGAAGGCTGCGAGGGGCGTCTGGCCTCGGTCGCCCTCTCACCTCTCCCCATACCTCCACCTGGCGGTGCTGGTCATATGCCTGCTGGTGCTAGGGAGAAGGACTTCGTTTCCTTCGCTAGAATTTAGCCTTTCCCGAATGTACTACCCCTCCCCTGCCCCGAATCTCCCGAAGCGGAATCCCTCTATTCAGATGTTAACGGAAATTCTAGAAAATACGTCACTTCAGAAAGGCGAGGGTAAAGGATATGCTGAGACTTGGAGTGATGGCAGGAATCCCCAAGAAGGAAGAACGACTTTGCACCAGGGTTACTGTCATTTTGATGTGGAAATGACAAACTCCCCTCCCTCCCAGGTTGTCATCACGGTAAATGGACATTTGTTTAGGACCCTTTTTACACCCCTAGAGTTGAAATTAAATTGACCTAAGTCTTCCTGAAAAACATCATATGCTTTGATGAATCACCTATTTTTCTGTAAAATGGGTCTTGCAGAGTTGTTGAAGGGATTATCTATAGTGCTTGTAGTGTAAAATGCCAACTATAAACAAGTAAATGAGAATCTAAGATCTCATTTTTCCTATTGAAAAATTGTGAGTTGTGGACTTTTAGAGACCATCGTTTGATCTTTCCCCACCTTGGATCATTTCAGAAAGTTTTGGATTCCAATATTGATTGGTTAACAGTAATGGACATTTACAGATGGAGAGTAGGAATACCCTCTTGTTGAAGAGTTTCAATAGCTTAAGCAAGTAAGTCCACTTGGGTGGTTTCCACCGTTCATTGTAGGTAATGGGTCCGGGTCCTCAATTGGTTTTTTGTTGTTGTTTATTTTTTTTGTTGTTTTTTTTTTCTGACAGATTCTCGCTCTGTTGCCCAGGCTGGAGTGCAGTGGCATGATCTAGGCTCGTTGGGTGCTCATTGGGTGGAGCAGTTCTCAACCGCCTCCTGGGTTCAAGCAATTCTCGTGCCTCAGCCTCCCCTGTAGCTAGGATTACAAGCATGTGCCACCACATCCGGCTAATTTTTGTGTTTTTAGTAGAGACAGGGTTTCATCATGTTGGTCAGGCAGATCTCGAACTCCTGACCTCAACTGATCCGCCCACCTTGGCCTCCTAAAGTCCTGGGATTACAGGCATGAGCTACTGGGCTGGGCCTGAAGTTTCTAAGAAGAAATCCAGATATATTTGGAAGTCATCAGACATAATTATTTGCATACATCTCTAGAAAAGTACATTTTCACCGAACTTTCTTGCTCTAAGTTGAATACACACTTTTTTTTTGCATTCAATTCTAAGCATTTATTGTACAACTTCTAGGATAGAAAGCATACATATAAAGCAGGATCTTCACCCTCTAAATACTTACCTACTTATGAATATTAAATAGTAATGATATAACACCTTTAGGGAATTTTATATTTTATTGTATTATTTTTTGGGGGGGACAGAGTCGCACACTATCGCCCAGGCTTTAGTGCAGTTGTGCGATCTTGGCTCACTACAATCTCTGCCTCCTGGGTTCAAGCAGTTCTCCTGCCTTACAGGTGTGCGCCACCACGCCCAGCTAATTTTTTGATATTTTTAGTAGAGATGGGGTTTCACCACGTTGGCCAGGTTGGTCTCGATCTGACCTCGTGATCCGTCCGCCTTGGCCTCCCAAAGTGCTGGGATTACAGGCATGAGCCACCGCGCCTGGCCTATATTTTCATTTTATCATTCGAGACAAGTACCTTGTGAAGATTTACAGGACATATATTGTTTACTTACATTTCAGCATTCATCATAATAAATGTCAAGTGGTAGAGACACTCCATGATAGAGGAATTCGGAGGAAGAAGAGAGATCTTTTACATGGACTAGATAGTAGCTAGATAGTGGTGGCGACGTCAGGTATAGGAGTGCCCTCTGCTTGTGTATGTTTAGGTCAGAGGAAACCCCTTAGAGTCTTAATTTGTAAAGCTAATAAATATGTTCAGTTTCCCTCGTTCTTTGACTACGCTCATTGTTTTTTTTTTCTCTTGTAATTGCAGAATCCAAGGACCCCTTTTGTTTCTCTGCACCACTTTCTGGGTGGCATTATGGCCCCCAAAGACATAATGACAAATACTCATGCTAAATCCATCCTCAATTCAATGAACTCCCTCAGGAAGAGCAATACCCTCTGTGATGTGACATTGAGAGTAGAGCAGAAAGACTTCCCTGCCCATCGGATTGTGCTGGCTGCCTGCAGTGATTACTTCTGTGCCATGTTCACTAGTGAGGTAAGTGGTCAGTTAGCCCCACACAAATGAAACTCGCCCATTGAACTCTAGTTGTCTAATTTCACTGAATAAAATAATAGAAGTTTGATATAATTGTGAATTTTTACAGTGTGATGTTTAAGTAGGCAGATTCTGGATAAGATCTACCACCTGACTATGCCTTAGTTTCATCATCTTTAAATTAGGGGTGATGGTAATATGTAATAACACATGGTTATTAAGGTTATTGTGAAGATTATCTTATAAAATAACTTATGAAGTGCTTAGAATGTTGTAATATGTAGTAAAACAAAAATGTCAGCTGTTGTATTTTACTATTTCTTAAATTTGTCTTCCAACTTTTCTCCTTTTTTTGTTTCTAATTTTATTTATTTATTTGTAAAGACAGGGTCTCACTATATATTGCCCAGGCTGATATTGAACTCCTGGGCTTAAGTGTTCCTCCTGCCTTGGACTCCCAAAGTGGCCACACCTGTCATTACAGGTGTGAGCCACTCTACCCGGCCTTTTCTCCTTCTAAAGTTTAAACATTTTTAAGCGAATACCAGAGGGATAAGAAGGAAGGAAGGAGAGAGGAGTAGGATTCAGACCTCATCCGACTCCTCCTAACAATATGTGAAGAAAAATCGGTGTAGATTTTAGGATAACTTCAAATGAAAGGAAGAAGAATTTTTTTTTTTTTTTTTTTTTTGAGACGGAGTTTCGCTTTCGTTAACCAGGCTGGAGTGCAATGGCACGATCTTGGCTCACCGCAACCTCCGCCTCCCGGGTTCAGGCAATTCTCCTGCCTCAGCCTCCTGAGTAGCTGGGATTACAGGCACTCGCCACCATGCCCAGCTAATTTTTTGTATTTGTAGTAGAGACGGGGTTTCACTATGTTGACCGGGATGGTCTCGATCTCTTGACCTCGTGATCCACCCGTCTCGGCCTCCCAAAGTGCTGGGATTACAGGCTTGAGCCACCGCGCCCGGCCCGAAAAGAAGAAGAATTTTTAATGAATAGCTGTACGGGTATAGAGTGCATAACCTGAAAAAAGATGTTAACTCAAACACTTAACAAAGGGAATTAGGAAAAAGGTGATATGACAGAATACAGGTAGTGCTTACAAAGTATTAAGAAACACTGCTGAGTAATTGCCTGACAAAATAGTTGAAATGTGGAGTAAGGCTGTATTGTGTTCAGTACTCCTAGAAAGCTGAACAGAAAAGAACATTGCAAGTCTTTGTTTTTTGAGATCCCAAGTCTGATTATAAGAGCAGATTTAAATAAATTACCTTGATTTTTTTTTTTTAAAGCTCAGTCATGGGTGCACCACTGTTTATTACATAATTTACAGTTATATGTATGCCTGAAATAATTCATTATGAAAACCGTTTTTTTTTTTTTTTTTTTTTGGAGACGGAGTTTCGCTATTGTCACTCAGGCTGGAGTGCAATGGCGCGATCTCAGCTCACTGCAACCTCTGCCTCCTGGGTTCAGGCAATTCTCCTGCCTCAACCTCCTGAGTAGCTGGGATTACAGGCACACACCACCATGCCCAGCTGATTTTTAGTAGAGACGGGGTTTCACCACGTTGACCAGGATGGTCTCGGTCTCTTGACCTTGTGATCCACCCGCCTCAGCCTCCCAAAGTGCTGGGATTACAGGCGTGAGGCACTGCGCCCAGCACGAAAACACTTTTTTAAACATCTTTTTAAGCACAATCTTTTTTTTTTTTTTTTTTTTTTTTTTTTTTTAGTTAGTTCTATCATCTTAGTGAAGATATTGCTACAGGATCAGGATGGGAGAGGCCTGTCTTTAAAAATAAATAAATTCTTTGATGGTAGTAACTACCTTTTATGGGCCAGGTACTGTGCTAGTGATTGTTGTGCATATCTCACTCACCCTAGAGTTGGTTATTACCATCTCATTTTTAGAAATGAAGGAACAGGGTTTCATATATTAAGTTACTTGCCCAAAGTCCCATGGCTTATAAGTGCTCAAGGTGGGATTTAATTCTATATTTTCTGTCTCTAAAGCCCAAATGTTTTTTTTGTTGTTTTTTTTTTTTGGTTTTGTTTTTTAAATGGAGTTTTGCTTTTGTTGCCCAGGCTGGAGTGCAATGGCACAATCCCAACTTACCACAACCTCCCCGTCTCAGGTTCAAGCAGTTCTGCCTCAGCCTCCCTAGTAGCTGGGATTACAGGCATGTGCCACCACCACATCTGGCTAATTTTGTATTTTTATTATCGATGGGGTTTCTCTATATTGGTCAAGCTGGTCTTGAACTCCCAACCTCAGGTGATCCGACTGCCTTGGCCTCCCAAAGTGCTGGGATTATAGGCATGAGCCACCACACCTGGCCAAAGCAGGAACATTTTTTTTTTTTTTTTTTTTTTGAGACGGAGTTTCGCTCTTGTTACCCAGGCTGGAGTGCAATGGCGCGATCTTGGCTCACCGCAACCTCCGCCTCCTGGGTTCAGGCAATTCTCCTGCCTCAGCCTCCTGAGTAGCTGGGATTACAGGCACGTGCCACCATGCCCAGCTAATTTTTTGTATTTTTAGTAGAGACGGGGTTTCACCATGTTGACCAGGATGGTCTCGATCTCTCGACCTTGTGATCCACCCGCCTCGGCCTCCCAAAGTGCTGGGATTACAGGCTTGAGCCACCGCGCCCGGCCAGCAGGAACATTTTTTAACTATTATTGTGCTGCCTTAGCCTCTGAAGTATGAATTTTATGTCCTACAATCTACTTTTAAAACCAGTATAATTAAAAATACTATGAGCCAATGCTCAGTCACATGGCTAGTAGGGAAAACAGGAACTGATAGGTCATTCCAGCTAATCCAGGCTAATTTTTAAATGAACTTGTGTGATAAAACAAGGCCGATCCCTGTCCTATACTGTTCTCCATGAGATATACCCAAGAGCATCAGAAGCATTTGGAATTTACCTAAGTAAAGAGAGTGTCACCCAGCAGCTGCTGAGCATGAAATGAACTAGAACTGTTGACTGCTAATCATGTGTTGTGCATCCTGTTTTTCGTCAGCTTGAAAATGGTCTGTCTTTACTCTTTTAATTCCAAAATTCTTTTTTTCTCATTTTTGATTTCTTTCTTTAAAAACTGACATCAGGCTGGCCGGTGCTGTGGCTCACGCCTGTAATCCCAGCTGTTAGGGAGGCAGAGGCGGGAGGATAGCTTGAGCCCGGGAGTTCAAGACCTGCCTGGGCAATATAGTGAGACCCTGTTCTCTGCAAAAAGAAAAAAAACAAGAAGACCAAAAAAAAAATAATAATAATAAAAATAAAAACTGACAAAAAATGGCAAAAAAATGCCAGATGGTTTTGTTTTTATTTTTCAGAGTCATTGGTTTAAAGGAGAGAGTCCAGAGACCTGGATTCTAGGCTTAGTTCTCTTAGCAATTCTGTATAAACCCTGCCAGCCATCTAACTTCACTGGGTTGGTCTGTAAAATAAAGTAGTCGAACTAGATGGTTTCCTTGTTCTCCTCAGCCATGAAATGCTCCTCAAATGTCATCTGATTGAAAGATCACAGGACTGAGGCAAGATGACCTGGGTTTTATGTCTCTCTCTCTCTCTCTTTTTTTATTTTCTGAAAGACTTTGATAGCAATGATGTCTGTCTCTTACTGGCTAAATGACTCTGGTTAAGTCTTATATCTGCTTTGATTCTTAGATCCTTTATCTCTTAAGTAGTAACAATATCAGATCTAACTACCTTACCAGGTTGTTGTGAAAATCAGATGAAATAGTAGAAAATGAGAAGCACACTGAAAAATTCTAAAGCAAAATATAAATGTAAAATGTATTATTGCTCTGAGTTCTTACATAGTGAAATTGTTTCAATATTTAAACTATTTGATGAAAATATAGTTTATTGAATGAGAAATTTCTGGAATACATGTACTTACTATATTTCAGTATCATTTTTTTTTTTTTTTTTTTTTTTTTGAGATGGAGTTTCACTCTTGTTACCCAGGCTGGAGCGCAATGGCGCGATCTCTGCTCACCGCAGCCTCCGCCTCCAGGGTTCAGGCAATTTTCCTGCCCCAGCCTCCTGAGTAGCTGTGATTACAGGCACGCGCCACCATGCCCAGCTAATTTTTTGTATTTTTAGTGGAGATGGGGTTTCACTGTTTTGACCAGGATGGTCTCGGTCTCTTGACCTTGTGATCCACCCGCCTCAGCCTCCCAAAGTGCTGGGATTACAGGCTTGAGCCACCGCACCCGGCCTTCAGTATCATAATTATTGAATATATTTAATTTGTTGGGACAGTAATTGTTTATAAATATTAGTACTGTATTAAGTGTTAATAAAACCTAATATGTTTTTTCAAAATAATGTGCTAGTGACTTTTTTTTACTGTTAGGGATTGATCTTGTTCTTGACTTTGTAGAGAGTGCTTTTGGTTATTCTCTGGCTGACAGAGAAATCAAACATGATAAAGCAATTTAGTTCATAATGGAGGTACACCAGATTTTTGTGAGTAAAATGAATTTCTAAACTAAGAGTTAGTAAAAATTTTATAAGGTATTTTTAGATAATTTACTGTCCTGTAAAGTTGAAGATTTCTTCTCTTAGCTAAACAGTTTTCTATGATATCTGGCCTCATCAATACTCAACAACTTCAAGGAAATACACTACTAACAATTCAGACTAAATATACTACTAACAATTCAGTTAGTCTAACCAAATATTTTGAAAAAGTAACAAACACTTTATTTGTATTCAGATGGTGTTACATAAGAAAGTCCCTTAGGATGACCTGCATATTCTTTTTCATCATTACTAAATGTAGTCTGAGGGCCAGGCATGGTGGCTCACTCCTGTAATCCCAGCACTTTGGTAAGCAGAGGTGGGTGGATCACCTGAGGTCAGAAGTTCAAGATCAGCTTGGTCTACAGGGCAAAACCTTGTCTCTACTAAAAATACAAAAAAAATTAGCTGGGCACGGTGACTCATGCCTATAATCCCAGCACTTCGGGAGGCTGAGGTGGGCCAGTCACTTGAGGTCAGGAGTTTTGAGACCAGCCTGGCCAACATGGTGAAACCCTGCCTCTACCAAAAATAATAAAAATTAGCTGGGAGTGGTGGCACATCCCTGTAGTCCTAACTACTCAGGAGGCTGAGGCAAGAGACTTGCTTGAACCTGGGAGGCAGAACTTGAAGTAAGCCAAGATTGTGCCACTGCATTCCAGCCTGGGCAACAGAGTAAGACTCCATCTAAAAAAAAAAAAAAAAAAAAAAGAAATTAGCTGGGTGTGGTGGTGTACTCTTGTAATCCCAGCTACTTGGGAGGCTGAGGCAGGAGAATCACTTGAACCTGGGAAGAAGTACAGTGAGCCGAGATCGCGTCGCTGCACTATAGCCTGGGCAACAGAGGGAGACCCTATCTACAGAAACAACAACAACAACAACATTCAGTCCGAGGACAGATGATAGGAACTACGTAATCCTGGAGAGACTGGAGTTAGAACCCACAGGGTCCTCTACAAATGTGAAATTTTTTTGAAATTTTGTGTCTTAGCTGGGTGCGGTGGCTCACGCCTATAATCCCAGCACTTTGGGAGGCTGAGGTGGGCGGATCACCTGAGGTCGGGAGTTCGAGATCAGCCTGACCAACATAGGGAAACCCTGTCTCTACAGAATTAGCCGGGCATGGTGGCGCATGCGTCTAATGCCAGCTACTTCAGAAGCTGAGGCAAGAGACTCAATTGAACCCAGGAGGTGGAGGTTGTGGTAAGCCAAGATTGCATCTTTGTACTCCAACCTGGGCAACAAGAGCGAAACTCTGTCTCAAAAATAAGAAAAGAAATTTTGTGTTTTATCTTAAAAGTTGATGGACTAGTGTTACATGGAAGTTTTGCATTCTATTCTATGATGCTTTTTTTTTTTTTTTTTTTTTTGGTGTTTTTAGTAGAGATGGGGTTTTACTATATTGGCCGGACTAGTCTTGAACTTCAGACCTCATGATCTGCCCATCTTGGCCTCCCAAGTGCTAGGATTACAGGCGTGAGCCACCATGCCTGGCCTACATCTGTATTTTAATATGAAATTGATTATTTTAAAGTTATTCACTGGCAACATTGCTATTCCAGGAAGGTGTCACATATTATTTACTCCTAGGGTATAGATAACTATCCATTTCATTTGGAAAGCTACAGACGTGTGACATATTTGCTTTATTCAAATCCAACAAAACAGACCATAATTTTTATTTTTTAAATTTTTTAATTTTTTTGAAAGAGTCTCACTCTGGTGCCCAGGCTGGAGTGCAGTGGCACAATCTGGGCTCACTGCAGCCTCCACCTCCCAGGTTGAAACAAACAATTCTCCTGCCTCAGCCTCCTGAGTAGCTGGGACTATCGGCATGTACCACCACGCCCAGCTCATTTTTGGATTTCTAGTGGAGTCGGGGTTTCACCATGTTGTCCAGGCTGGTCTTGAATTCCTCACCTCAAGTGATCTGCCTGCCTAGGCCTTCCAAAGTGCTAGGATTACAGGTGTGAGCCACCACACCTGGCCCATAATTTTTAAAGATATATGTTCAATTAAATTATTAACATCTGTAAGCTCTTAGATATGAGATTGTGCCTTTATCTTGTGGAATTATAACCATCATTCTTTTATACCTTTTGAATTTTCAGCTTTCAGAGAAGGGCAAGCCTTATGTTGACATCCAAGGTTTGACTGCCTCTACTATGGAAATTTTATTGGACTTTGTGTACACAGAAACAGTGCATGTGACAGTGGAGAATGTACAAGAACTACTCCCTGCAGCCTGTCTGCTTCAGTTGAAAGGTATAGACATTAAAACTTGCTATGTCAAATAACCCTGGAAAGGTTGAAAATTAATAGTGTAAACTTAATCATGACCATTTGGAGACAGGCTGTGGATGCTAATGTTTACTGGCTATCCCTTTTGTCTCATTAAGCAGTGAAAAATCAGATGTCAATATCACTATAAAGGAACTTCTCCTGATGTGCATATTTGGCTCTATAAAAGAGAGCACTTGCACCTTTTCTGTTTAAAAAAAAAATGGAAGAAGAAATGATGTATTTTTTTACATGCATGTATGTAACACATCTGTAAGTATAAAAAACTGATACTATACATAGCCTACAGGGATACTCTTTATTTACTTGGCCATTAAGTAGCCAGGTTGATAAGAAGGCTAAGGAGACTTTTCATGGTAAACCCTTTTGTATCTTTAAATGTTTGAACCATATAGAATATCTGTTAAATGAACTTTAAATTGATGCACAAAAATTATAGTTTTCACAGGATTACAGATGGTTTGTTTTCCCTTACAGTTCCCAGGTTTTTTGGGTTTTTTGTTTTGTTTTTGCGACAGGGTCTCGCCCTGTCACTCAGATTAGAGTTTAGTGGGGCAATCACAGCTCACTGTAGCCTTGAATTCTTGGGCTCAAGCAATTCTCCCACCTCAGCCTCCTGAGTAGCTGGGACCACAGGTGCATGCCACCACACCCAACTAATTAAAAAAAAAAGTTGTGGAGATGAGTTCTCTCTGTGTTGAATAGGCTGGTCTCAAGCTCATGTGATCCTCCTCAAGCTTAAGTGATCCTCCCACCTTGCCTCCCAGAATGCTGGGTTTATAGGCACGAGCTGCCATTCCTGGTCCCCGGTTTTTCTTTTTTAACATTCAGTTATGTTTTCATTGTTCTCAGTTTTTATGTATACATAATTGACACATTTTTAGTTTCTAATACATGATTTAAATAGTGTGAAGCTTTTGTATTAGTGCATAGCTGTAAAATTGAAATACTCTGAACTTTTCAATTAGGTAAATATGAGATTTGTTATTGTCTTCTGCTTTTCTTTAACTGGAGTCTTTTAGTAGGTTTTTGTGTAGAGTAGAAAATAGGTACCTTATGTTGAATTAGTAATTGGTTTTATAGTTTGATTCCCAAGAGTTTTATAGGCATTTTTGTTGAACTGTGCCAGTGTCTCTGGATGCAATTCATCTTGCAATACTGATTTTAAAGAATAAGCAGAGACAGGTGTAAAGGTCTTGCTGAAAGTGACACAGCACATAAGCCAGAAATAGAGTTTAAGTTCCTTAAGCATAGAATTTCTAATCTGTTTCTTACAGTTCATCTGATAACAGGTAGAGAAGATGTCAACATATAAGAATACAGACTAGGCCGGCCGTGGTGGCTCAAGCCTGTAATCCCAGCACTTTGGGAGGCCGAGGCGGGTGGATCACGAGGTCAAGACATCGAGACCATCCTGTTCAACATGGTGAAACCCCGTCTCTACTAAAAATACAAAAAATTAGCTGGGCATGGAGGCACGTGCCTGTAATCCCAGCTACTCAGGAGGCTGAGGCAGGAGAATTGCCTGAACCCAGGAGGCGGAGGTTGCGGTGAGCCGAGATCGTGCCATTGCACTCCAGCCTGGATAACAAGAGCGAAACTCCGTCTCAAAAAAAAAAGAAAAACAAAACAAAACAAAAAAGAATATAGACTAGATCACACCTGTCCAACTATTCTACAGTGTTTGCCACCTGTTTCTATTCTAGGTGTGAAACAAGCCTGCTGTGAGTTCTTAGAAAGTCAGTTGGACCCTTCTAATTGCCTGGGTATCAGGGATTTTGCCGAAACCCACAATTGTGTTGACCTGATGCAAGCAGCTGAGGTTTTTAGCCAGAAGCATTTTCCTGAAGTGGTACAGCATGAAGAATTCATTCTTCTGAGTCAAGGAGAGGTGGAAAAGCTAATCAAGTGCGATGAAATTCAGGTACAGATTTGTCCTGGTGTTATGGTTTCTTCAAGATTAGGCAATTACAAAACTGGCAAAGTCGGATGCAGTTACTTATCAGGGCTTGATAATCAAGTGTTCATATTGGCTCAAAGATTTCATTAACCTCTCCTGTACCAAATTTATTTGTATTTTTATGGAGAGGGAGTTTGCCACTTTCTTCAGTTAGATATATGATCCCACTGGGTAAGAATCACTATAAACAGAGTATAAAATAAGCAGAAATTGGAAGTAAAGGAGATATCTGTAGAGCACATCTTTATTATGCATTCACTCATTTCACAAACATTTATTGACCATATCTACTATGCAGCATTACTATGCTAGGTGCTACGGATCCCAAAGTGGGTAAAGATAGTTCTTGCTTTCAGAAAATTCACAATATGCTAGTAGAGACAGGGATATAGACAAAAGAAAAAAAAAAAAAAGTTCAGAGGATAATGAGAATAATGAGCCTATACAAAGTAAGGACATTACTTAGAAGAAAGAAGAATAAACCCAGGAGTGGATCAAAAATGAAGAGATAAAAGTTTGGAAGTGAGGATCTACGTAAGCCAGAGCCAAATCAAAACTTTCTTTTGGGGGTGCAGGGGATGGAAGGAAGGGACACGAGAACTAGATGGTAAAGGAATAGTAGGCCAGGTGCAGTGGATTATGCCTGTAATCCCAGTACTTTGGGAGGCTGAGGCAGGAGACCTGCTTGAGCCCAGGAGTTTGAGACCAGCCTCGGCAACATGGCAAAACCCTGTCTTTACAAAAAAAAATATAGTTAGCCTGGCATGGTGGTGAGCACCTGTGGTCCCAGCTATTTGGAAGGCTGAGGTGGGAGGATCTCTTGAGCCCAGGAGTTTGAGGCTGCAGTGAGCCATGATCACACCACTGCACTGTAGCCTGGTCAACAGAGCAAGAGCCTGTCTCTTGTGGGGGAAGAAAAAGGAATAATACTTCACTTACCAGCAGGATACTACGTGTACCAGGCAGGCATTCAGTGACTTAACCTATATAGAAGAATCTTAAGTCAATTCTAAATCAGAGTACCAGTAGCAGAGTTTTATTGCATATAGGTCTATAGTTAGGCTAAGAATCGGAGTGAGAAGTCCAATATAGTTAATTATTTTTTCCTTTGTTTTTGCGATGGTCTCCCTCTGTCACCCGGGCTGGAGTGCAGTGGTGCAATTATGGCTCACTGCAGCCTGTATGTCTGAGCTCAACCAACTCTCCCACTTCATCCTTCTGTGTAGCTGTAACTGCACACCACCACTAATTTTTAACATTTGTTGTTGAGATGGGGTCTCACCATATTTCCCAGACTGGTCTTAAACTCCTGGGCTCAAGCAATACTAGCCTCAGGCAATACCATTTAAAGAAAGACTAAAATATACTTCCATAACCTAAATGATTACTCCCTCCTAATTTATTTTGTTATAACTAGGATATTTGTACAACAGAATAACAGATCTTAAGTATACTTCTTCCAGGCTGGAGTGCAGTGGCGTGATCTCAGCTCACTGTAACCTTTTGCCTCCTGGGTTCAAGCTCTTCTCCTGCCTCAACCTCCCAAGTAGCTGGGACTACAGGCATGCACCACTATGCCAGCTAATATTTATATCTTTAGTAGAGACAGAGTTTCACAATTGTGGCCAGGCTGGTCTGGAACTCCTGACTTCAAGTGATCCACCCACCTCGGCCTCCCAAAGTGCTGGGATTACAGGCATGAGCCACTACTCCTGACCTTAAGTATATTTCATGTCGGCCGGGCGCGGTGGCTCAAGCTTGTAATCCCAGCACTTTGGGAGGCCGAGGCGGGTGGGTCACGAGGTCGAGAGATCGAGACCATCCTGGTCAACATGGTGAAACCCCGTCTCTACTAAAAATACAAAAAATTGGCTGGGCATGGTGGCACGTGCCTGTAATCCCAGCTACTCAGGAGGCTGAGGCAGGAGAATTGCCTGAACCCAGGAGGCGGAGGTTGCGGTGAGCCGAGATCGCGCCATTGCACTCCAGCCTGGGTAACAAGAGCGAAACTCCATCTCAAAAAAAAAAAAAAGTATATTTCATGTCAAATTTTAGCCAAGTGTTTCTTTACACCTTTCCCTAGTGACTGTTATTGGTGACATTGGTTACAACTGTAGAGAAATTATTTTCCAGCTTCCCAGAGAAGCTGCTATTGCAAATGCTGTTGAGACAAGAATTTGCTAAAATCTTGGTTCTCATCCTCTTAGTGTGGGACATTGTCTCCTTGTGCCGAAATGGCAGGCATAGCCAAAAGATGTATTCATCAGACTTGGAAACCGGCAGTTCACTAGAATATCTCGATTTTTCTTGATTTGTCCACGTATTGGAAAATACAGTGAATAGAATGACCACTATAGACTTGAAGTTCACTACATATACATAATAGATAATACTTACTCAGCATTTACTGTTGGTTCACTTACTGAATACCTGTTGAACACTAACTGTGCTCAGAACAGTTCCGGGTGCTGGAGATCACATTATGAACAAAGCAAACAAAAATCCCTGTCCACTGGAGCTTCTATTATGGCACTGTTCTTGGTATTTTTATCTTGTTTAATTATCACATCTTCATTTTTCAGAGGAGGAAAGTGAAGATTGGAGTTTAACCATCATACCGCAACTAGTAAGTGGTAGAGCCACAACTAGTAAATGGTAGAGCCAGGATTCATATTCAGGTGGTCTGGCTCCAGAGTCATTCTCTTAATCACTCACCTCTGAGCTGGTCATGTTTTCAGTTTGTTTCTAATTGTCCAGATCAGGAAACAATCACAGAAGGCATTTATTTTGGAACTATACAGGCTTTGGAATAAAACTGGATGGAGCAGAGAGAACAACTAACTAACCTTATTTAGAAGCTGAAATGAAAAAAAGCCTGAGAACTCTTATGTATAGTTTAAGTGTGTGTGAAGACTGCCCTTTGCCTTTTTTTCTGGAAAGAAAGCAAGTGACACATTTTTTTCTGTTCCATATACCAGCCAGAAACAGGAACAAGATGTCTGACTCCCAGTTGCTAATGCTTCCTCTTGTCAAATCCAGTGTTCCGGTGCTCTCTGTATCTGGCCCTTGCTTAACTCTCCAGCTTCATCTTTTACTCCTCTGTCACCCTCATTCACTCGACTACACTAGCCTCTATCATTACTTCAAGCTGCCAGTTCTTTTTCGCTGTAGGGCAGCTGTTCAGCAGAACATTCTGTGAAGATGGAAATACTCTGTATCTGTACTGCCTAGTTTGCTCCCACTAGCCCCGTGTTGCTGTTGGGCACTTGAAATGTGGCTCATGCCACTGAGAAGCTATTATTAGTTGAATTTGAATTAAGGTGAATGTCAATAGCCACACGTGGGCAGTGTATTGGACAATGTATTTCTAGTGCTCTTACGTGTGCTCTTCTGTCTGCCTTGCAGTACTGTCTTACTCTCCTGGCTAACTGCTACTTAGCCATCAGATTTCAATTTGTTACTTCTTCAGGGAGGCCTTCCCTGACTCACCAATCTAAATTAGGAAATCTCATGTTGTTCTCTCTCAAACCCCAGTATCTATCCTATGTCGTATGCAATAATAGATTGTTCGTTTTTCTGATATAACAGTTTCATTCCCCACTTAAGAGCAGGGATCATATTTGATTTCTTCACCATTGTATAATCAGTTTCCAGGACAGTGTCTGGCACTTAAGAGAGGGGTTCAGTAAAGCCCTCGAATGAATGAACTTTGTGAAACATTTTCTACTTTTAGAGTATCACACTTCTTGGGAAAAGTGTACAAGGTGGTTTTTTGTTTTTTTTTAATCTAGTCACAGTGACATTCTGAAAGGTATCTCCCAGAATATGTACTCTCTAAGTACTGGTAGAAGGGACACAGGACCTGTACTCAGGTGTCTGTCTTTGGGAAGTTGCAGGTGTTATTATATACCTAGGTCTTCCAGTGATGTAGGTGTTTTTAGAGTGTCTCTCACATTATCTAATTGGTCATATGTAAGCTTAGACCTAAGTTCCCCAAATGATTAATTAAATATATCTTCTCAAATAGCACAGTGCCTAATATATAATAGTTGCTGGAAGGCTAATTGATATTGCTTTTGAAAACTGCAACCTAGTGATGTTAGAGAAGCTCCTGCTTCAGAGGCTTGGGTAGACAATTTGAAGGGTGAGTCTGGAGATCATTAGATAACAATTATGACCAAAAATTATTTTAAGAGCTAATTTTGAATAAGGCAACAGGTTCTCCCACCTACCTTCCCTAAAGTTACAGAGATGACTAGAAGCAATTCAGGAATGGGGAAAATTCTGAAATGAAGGCCAATATGTGACTGGTGATTTATTAGGTACTATCTATTTTAGATTTTTTGTTTGTTTGTTTGTTTTTTTGAGACGGAGTTTCGCTCTTGTTACCCAGGCTGGAGTGCAATGGCGCGATCTCGGCTCACCGCAACCTCCGCCTCCTGGGTTCAGGCAATTCTCCTGCCTCAGCCTCCTGAGTAGCTGGGATTACAGGCACACGCCACCACGCCCAGCTAATTTTTTTGTATTTTTAGTAGAGACGGGGTTTCACTATGTTGACCAGGATGGTCTCGATCTCTTGACCTCGTGATCCACCCGCCTCGGCCTCCCAAAGTGCTGGGATTACAGGCTTGAGCCACCGTGCCCGGCCTAGATTTTTTTTAAAACCCAAATTGACTGTAATTCTTTTCCTGATCTGTTAACTGTGTCTGAATAAAGTTGTTTTCCCAAGAGCCTAGCTATTTCTGGAAGGTGGGAAATGATGGTGATGCAATGGGAAGCAGGAAGGAGAAAGTGAATGTGGTTACTATTTGAGATAGTGAGCTAATTGAAAAAGTAGATTCACGGTGTGTAATTACACATTTATAGGTGGATTCTGAAGAGCCTGTCTTTGAGGCTGTGATCAACTGGGTGAAGCATGCCAAGAAAGAGCGGGAAGAATCCTTGCCTAACCTGCTGCAGTATGTGCGGATGCCCCTGCTAACCCCCAGGTATATCACAGATGTAATAGATGCTGAGGTAAGTAATGCAACACTCTCAGAATCCAAAACCGTGACAAACTCTTACCTTAGGTTATGTATTCAAAATTGATTATTTTAATGTAGGCACAGTATCTCCTGGTTTGCCTCTCTAGGAATGCCAGTGAGAGTGATGCCGGGTCGTCCCCAGGCATATTTCTAAGAAAAGTGAATTTCTCGACAGGTCAGGCTCTTAACACAAATGAAAATCTGTGGTTCAGTTTTGTGTTTTGCTGTCTTTTGTTTTACATGCCTCTAAGTGTTTTGTATCAACACCTGATAATAAGTTTTGTCTCCTCTGTTAAACATAAATTGTTCAAATTGCCCTGATGCCACACTTAGCAGACCTCTTCAATTTTGACTTCTGGTGAAACCAGTATGAAAGGAGTTTGATACATTTTAGTGTCAACTTTAGTTATATCATGTTGAGTTTATTTATAGAAGTGTTTTTCCAACTTAAGTTCTTTGTGATACTTTTTCATAATTTTTACCATATATACCACCTATGTTGCCTGGACCATACTTTGAGGGAGCACTGATTTATAGCATGTAGGTAAGGCCCAGGCCAGTAAAAGAGTTCCTCTTGCTGACCCAGCCCTAGATCTCTTAGTGAGTTAATTACAAACAGTTTTCAGTTGTTCACATGAGAAAAGTTGCAAGATGGTTAGTGTCACATCTCAAACTCTTTTTCTCCTATTTGTGATTTCTGTCTTTCTTACAACCCACTCACATATCCCTTGTGTTTAGTTCTTTACATTGTGGTTAGAAGCACAGACGCTGGAACCAGACTTGGGCCTGAAATCCCAAATTCACCACTTACTCTGTGAACTTTTAGCAGATGTCTTAATATATTTGTGTCTTAGCTTTCTTATCTGTAAAACAGTGATGATAATAGTATCTTCCTCATATGTTATTGTTAGCATTGAGTTAAGTTACTATGTGAAAGTTTTCCTTTCCAGTTCAACTGAGAACTTCTTGGATCAGGTTAATAGAGGTGCTATGTCATTAGAGCTGTGTCCTTTAGAGTCCCAACAGGAAACAGATGGTATGCTCAAAATAGGACAATTTGAGAAGAGCTTTTATTATAAAGAAGCTGTTTACAGAGGTGCAAGTTTAGAGAAACAACAAAAGACAGTGAAATAACCTGGATTTAGGACACATAAGCTATTAACAGCCCCTAAGACTGAAGGGACAAGGTTAAGGAGTGGTTACTAGAACATTAAAGGAAAGAGAATCATGTAGAGTCACTACCTTGAGAGAAACCTTGAGCTTTGATTGGGCTATCCCAACCAGAAGCTAGAAGGCATAGGAAGACCTATTGACACGGTTCATATAGGCCAGTTTTCTGAGCCAGAGGCAGAGTGAAAAGGGTAGAGAGCGAGTTGGGAGGCAAATGAAAGATGTCCAGTACAAAGCTATCAGAAATAGACACGGTGATCACAACAGTACTGCGAACCTTGGGGAAAATATTTCAGGTAAAATATACTTCTTCCTGTCATCCAGAAAAGAACAATCTTTTTGGTTTTTCCCTTATTATTTTTCTTGTTAGTTATTATGAACTTGTGTTTGCATAACCCTTGGAAGGACATACATACTATGTAAAAACAGGCACACGTCATCCCTGAGAGAGATGGAAAATACTGCTCAACATGCCTTTTTATATCATCTGATTTTTGATCCATCTAGTATATTATCTGTTTTTTAAAATAACTTTAAAAAGTCATTTCTGGATCTGAAGCAAGGAAAAGAACCTGGGAATGTGAAGAGCGTGAGATGGTAGCCAAACTCCCAGTCGCATTAGAAATTAAAAAAAAAATAAAAATAAAAGTCATTTCTGGAAACCCAGAGCATAGTTACTACTGGCAGTACTCCTAGAATCACGGGGCTTTGGAAACTGGTTTTCCGTGTTCAGAAGTCAGTTCTTTGCACGTGCCCTTTGTACTCTTACAGTATTACAGGTGTCCTCTGTGCCTCACTCTACTGTCTGCTGTATTTCAGCCTTTCATCCGATGTAGTTTACAGTGCAGGGATCTGGTTGATGAAGCAAAGAAGTTTCATCTGAGGCCTGAACTTCGGAGTCAAATGCAGGGACCCAGGACAAGGGCCCGCCTAGGTAAGCTGGTATCTTGGCAGAATGAGGGGTTGCTTTTCAACTGTTTCTTGCAGGTGACAACGTAGTTGAAAATAACACTCTATAAGAAGTACAAAGACCTTGTTTCAGATCTTTTATGCTGTCATCTCAGACAGGTCAGTTTACCACTCTGAGCTTTCTTTCCTAATTCAAATCTTTTTATTCTGTCATCTCAGACAAGTCACTTTACCACTCTAAGCTTTCTTTTTCTTTCTTTTTTTTTTTCTTTGTTTGTTTTGTTTTGTTTTGTTTTTGCCACTCTAAGCTTTTTTTCCTATAAACCAAAGATATCTTCTCTGTCTACTTCACATAACTATTTGGAAATTATAAAAGCACTTTATACATTGCCAAGCATTACTGAATATGTTACACTTTTTTGTCAATATTATGTAGAGTCTGTGAATTAGAGATATTTTTTAGTGCCACTTAGTGGCACGTAAGTAGTATATGCTCCCACCTACCTCTTCACTTCCCCTTATGTGGTTTCCATTCTGGAATGAAAAGAGGAAGAAAAGGAGCCCAGTATGGTAGAAAGTACATGGGTTTTGGCAGTGACAGTGGCACGTACCAGTTTACCTCATACTAGGTGTATTAATTTGGTCAGGAACCTTAACCTATATGTGCTTCAATTGCCTCATCTGTAAATGGAATCATCATGGGACCTGCCTGTAACATTGTTTTGAAGAGTAAATGAAGTTATTTATGTAAAGCCTTAAAACAGTTGTTGGCACATAATAACTATGTGTATTAGCTATTATCTTAGCAAATAGACCTAGGTTCAGATCCAAGCCCCAACAGTGGCTGGTTGGGCAAGGGATCAATTTATCTGAGCCTGTACATCTGCCACTAAGATGAGAGTTAGTGTCTTATCTCTGTGGGTTTTGGGGATTAAATGAGATGTATATAGGATACCTAACACTATAGCTGGCACATACTAAGTACTCAGATATTATTATACTTTCCATGTCCTATTCTCTCTGCTTCACTGTCCCAAGAGCCTAAGTACATAATGTATAAAAGCATTTTATGAGTTATAAATTACTCTATATGTACGGGGTGGTATTTTGTTTTATTTCCTTTCATCTGACTGAGGACTCATCATGCATACTAAGGTGTTAATTGATAATTAAGCTGCTCACTCACTGATGGGTTTAGGTAGAATGGTGATTTATCCCTATATTAAATTTTTTTTAATAGAAGTGGGATGGGGTCTCACTGTGTTGCCCAGGCTGGAGTGCAGTGGCACGATCTTGGTTCACTGCAGCCTTGGCCTCCCAGATTCAAGCAGTCTTCCCACCTCAGCTTCCCAAGTAGTTGGGACTACAGGCATGTGCTACCATGCCTGGCTCATTTCTGTATTTTTTTATAGAGACATAGTCTTTGTTGCTCAGGCTGGGTCTTGAACTGCTGGACTCAAGCAATTCACCTGCCTCGGCCTCCCAAAGTGCTGAGATTATAGGCCTCCCATATATATTAATTTTTAAAATTAATTAATTATTATTACTATTTTTGAGATTGAGTCTTGCTCTGTCTCCCAGGTTGGAGTCCAGCGGTGCAGTCTTGGCTCACTGCAACCTCTGCCTCCCAGGTTCAAGAGATTCTCCTGCCTCAGACCCCTGAGTAGCTGGGATTACAGGCACATGCTGCCACACCCAGCCAATTTTTGTATTAGAGACAGGGTTTGTATGTAGAGACAGGGTTTCACCATGTTGGTCAGGCTGGTCTCGAACTCCTGACCTCGTGATCCACCCGCCTTGGCCTCCCAAAATGCTGGGATTACAGGTGTGAGCCACTGTGCCCAGCCACTATTTCGTTTGTTTTTTTTGAGACAGAGTCTTGCTCTGTCACCCAGGCTGGAGTGCAGTGGCATAATCTCAGCTCACTGCAACCTCTACATCCTAGGTTCAAGCAATTCATGTGCCTCAGCCTCCCAAATAGCTGGGACAGTAGGCAACTACCACCATCCCCAGCTAATTTTTGTATTTTTAGTAGAGACGGGGTATCTCCATGTTGACCAGGCTGGTCTCAAACTCCTGGCTGCAAGTGATCCACCTGCCTCTGCCTCCCAAAGTGTTGGGATTACAACCATGAGCCACTACACGTGGCTGCCTCCTCTATATTTTTTAATGGCATAAGTACTATATGTTCAGTGTATAACTTTTAGAAATACAGAGAAGCAAAAAATAAATAAAAATCATTCGTAATCTTACCATTCAAAGAGAGATAAAATCTTACCATTTTTTTTTTTAAGAGAGAACTTTTAGATAGGGCATTGTAGGTGGTATTTTCTATTACTGCAGGATGACAAAATGTGATCTGTGTTTTATATACTTTATACAAAGATACATATCAACACAAGATAGGTCGAAGGACTAAATGTTTGAAAAACTATGAGAAGATTAAAAGAAATTATAGAAGCCGGGCGCGGTGGCTCAAGCCTGTAATCCCAGCACTTTGGGAGGCTGAGGCGGGTGGATCACGAGGTCAAGAGATCGAGACCATCCTGGTCAACATGGTGAAACCCCGTCTCTACTAAAAATACAAAAAATTAGCTGGGCATGGTGGCACGTGCCTGTAATCCCAGCTACTCAGGAGGCTGAGGCAGGAGAATTGCCTGAACCCAGGGGGCGGAGGTTGCAGTGAGCCGAGATCGCGCCATTGCACTCCAGCCTGGGTAACAAGAGCGAAACTCCGTCTCAAAAAAAAAAAGAAATTATAGAAAAATATTTGCATACATTCTGGATGGAAATCTTTTTCCTTTTTTGTAAAATACAAGTAATAGGCCAGGCATGGTGGCTCACGCCTATAATCCCAGCACTTTGGGAAGCCGATGTGGGCAGATCACTTCAGGTTAGGAGTTCAAGACCAGCCTGGCCAACATGGAGCAAATCCCATATCTACTAAAAATACAAAAATTAGCCTGGTATGGCTCACACCTGTAATCCCAGCTGCTCAGGAGGGTGAGGCAGGAGAATCGCTTGAACCCAGGAGATGGAGGTTGTAGTGAGCAGAGATTATGGTATTGCACCCCTGCCTGGGCAACAGAGTGAGACTCCATCTCAAAAATAAATAAATAAATACACACACACACACACACACACACACACACACACACACAACATAAAATGTACCCTCTTAATCATTTTTACATGTACAGTTGAATAATGTCAAATACACTTACATTGTTATACAGTCAATCTCTATAACTCTTTGTCTTAACAAGACTGAAACTCTGTGGACATTAAACAATAACTCCTAATTCTCCTTTCCTCCCAGGGTAGTAACCTTTTTAACCATAGCAGAAAAACTCAGAATCCTTCAAGGTTGCTTGACTACATTAAATTTGTTTTAATTGATGACGAAAGACAGAAAGTTAAAGACATGGACTGGAAAAAATATGTTCAACATGTATGATAAAAGATTATATTTCTAATATAAAAAGAACCCATATGAACCAATAAAATAAAAATAATAGCCCAATAGGAGATTGAGTACAGGTAACACATATAGGAGGAAATACAAGGGACCAATAAACATTTTAAAATGTGCTTCATTAACAGGTCTAGAAATGCATATTAAACAAGATAACTTTAAAAGCTTAAAATGTTCATATGCCTTGTGTCCTATTTCTTGAAATGTATGCTATAGAAATAAAAGCCAGTATATAAGGATATATTTGTAAGAATATTGGATTTACTATAAATTGTTAGTATTGCCAGAAAGAAAGGGATACAACCTGAATTCTATCTCAAGGGGAATGAATAGTTGCCCGAATTATAGTACAGTTTTTTTTGTTTGTTTGTTTTTGAGACGGAGTTTCGCTCTTGTTACCCAGGCTGGAGTGCAATGGCGCGATCTCAGCTCACCGCAACCTCTGCCTCCTGGGTTCAGGCAATTCTCCTGCTTCAGCCTCCTGAGTAGCTGGAATTACAGGCACGTGCCACCATGCCCAGCTAATTTTTTGTATTTTTAGTAGAGACGGGGTTTCACCATGTTGGACAGGGTGGTCTTAAACTCCTGACCTCAGGTGATCTTCCCACCTCAGCCTCCCAAAGTGCTAGGATTACAGATGTGAGCCATTGTACCTGGCCGTTACTTTTGTTTTTAAAATAGTATCATTATTTTTAAAAATCAGGTTGGATATCCCTAATCTGAAAGTCTGAAACTCAAAACGCTCCAAAATCTAAAATTTTGAGTGCCAGCATAATGCTTAAAGGAAATACTCACTGGAGCATTTTGGATTTGGTCTTTCTGAATTAGGGATGCTCAAATAGTTACGCAAATAAGTAACGCAGATATTACAAAAATGTCTAAAATCTGAAGCACTTCTTATCCTAAGCATTTTAGGTAAGGGTTACTCAACCTATACCATGAGAGCCAGTGACGTAGTGGAAAGAACCTGGCACAAGGAGATAAGACATTTTGCTTACTTTGATTTTTACTCCCATTTCTGTCACTGACTCTAGTAGCTTTCTGTTTGGACAAGTCCTTTAGCTTCTCTGGGTTACCAGTTCTTTATATCAAGAGAGTTAACATTCTATATCAAGAGAGTCACTAAAGTACTTTCCAACACAGAAAAATGTTTTTTTGTTTGTTTGTTTGTTTTGCATAATAACACTCATTACTTGCTTATTAAACAAAATAATAAGTTTTTTAGTTTTTGAACTAAAAACTAACAAATCAATAAACCCAGAAGATTCTTTGGAGGTACATTTCCTGCATGTCTCTCAGCAGGCAACAGAAGGGGCTCCTGTTTGGTTAGAGAACTTCTTTATTGCCCTGACCTTGAGGGATTAAACTATGAATCTTTATACCTTCATAGTTTTTAGGTTATTTTTGAGAAGTTCTAGAAGGGAAGGGCTGAAGCAATTTCCAATTAGATTCTTAACATCTCCTTGTCAGTGCCTTAGAAGGTGGATTGTTCTTCCATCATGTCTTCTACCCATCTCTATGCATATTGGCTGCCAAACCAGCTACCAGAA